GCCGGCCGGCCGCCCCCGCCGCTGCCCCAGCCCCGGCCTCCGGCCTGCGGCTCCGGGGCCTGCGGCGGGGAGACGGCGGGGCCCTCGGCCCAGCGCAGCAGCGGCGCCGCGTCTCCCCGCTCCACCATGGCGAAGCGAGGAGGAGCCGCGGGCGGCGAGGGGCGGGCGCAGGGGCGGGCTGCGGGAACTCCCCTCGCCGGGCCGGGCCGAGCCGCCGCACCGCCCGAGGCCGCACCTGCCCCGCGCCGCCCCGCCCGCCGCCGCCGCCGCCCTCCCGCCGGGGCCGGCGCTCCGATCCAGCCAGAGGAGGCGTCCTCCCCACCGGCTTCGCCCAACTGCGTGCCTGGCTGGGATTCGCGGGTGCATGTGTGTGCCGGTGCACGGGAAACGTCTGGCGGCATGGACGCGCATCCACCTGGATCCGTCCACCTGTGCTGGGGTGAGGTGCCTTCTCACCTAGGAGTCCGTCGGATAACTGTACCACCCTGAATTTTTATACGCCACCATTCTTTTTGTAATCTCCCTGGTCATATGGACCATGACAGAAATGTGTTACATAATCCTGGAAGTGTGGCTGAAGCCTGCGCTGGGCTGGGAAGTGAAGCGGGAGAGGGAGCCTTGGCCGCCCCGGGGTTGTTTGGGCTTTGGATGTGGCCTGGCCTCCTGGAGCTGTGGGCTTGGGTGTGCTGCCTGAGGTAGTTTTGCGTGCAGAACCCAGTCGGCTGTTGCCTGGCCCCCGCCTTCCCTGGACCCTGCCTGGGGCTCATCCATTTCAGTGACTAAACCTCCAGAGAAGGTGGTGGATGGTCATTTACTTGCCCTTGGGCCCGGGAAGGGGAGGTTGAGCCAAATATACAAAGATGAAAGCAGTCCCCCTTCTGTAGGCTAAATGCCGCATAAATAGATAATGGTTATGGCATAGATTTTGGCTTGGAAACAGCAGCCCCGGGCAGTCATTTATTATCTCCTTAGGAAGAGGGGTTAAATCGTGTCTTCATTGTATCTCTGGCACATAGGATAGGCTTCTTCTTCAGCACTGCCTGAGTGACACCCAGTGCACAAACTGCTGGGGCTCCTCCATTATTTTAATGGCTATTTCTTATTCCCACCTCCTCTGATTACTTAGCCACCAGATTTCCCAAGGGTTGGGGCATTCAAAATATAATTTCTAAATATAAAACGGGGGATTCATAGAAAATCCTCAATTTCCAAAGCCATCAGCTTTTCTCTTTCTCCCCTAAGGGACTTCTTTTTCCTGATCTTTTGTGTGAACCCCACCCAGAAGGCCCTAGTCTAGTACCTTCAAGTTGTGTAGGTACCAAAAGTTGTGAATGTGCCAGGAAATAAACTCATAATCTCCATCCTATATATATTCAGATATATATATGCTATATATAATTTGCTGTATGAACAAAAGACTAAAATGTCCAAACCTTAAACCTATAGAGCCTTTCCCACACTTATTAACGTATGTGTCCTAGTTCACCAGCCACCACGTCTATCTGCAGATTCCTAGTGCCCTGCATAACAGGTGCACAAGAAGCATTTGTCAACTAAGCAGATGAATAAAAGTAGAGACTTAACACCTCCGTACAACTGGCTCCTCCTGCCAGGCTTAACCTAGCATCTTGCACTTAACACGTGCTCAAAAATGTTAATGATGGTGATGACAGACCTCTTAACACATTCACAGTCTGAAAGGGCTCTACATCTGACCATCAGATTTATCTTCTCTGTATCTACTGAATTTCACAAAATGATAGGAAAACAAACTAATTAAATTTAGCTATTAGAATAGCTCTGGTGGGAAAGGAGTGTGAACGGCAAGAAGAAATGAAGGGCAGTCAGATTCAGGGACCCTAGGATGATGTTATATTTTAAAAATATTTTTTTTTACATTTATTTATTTTTGAGAGACAGAGCTCGCGAGCAAGCAGAGGAGGGGCAGAGAGAGAAAGAGACACACAATCCGAAGCAGACTCCAGGTTCTGAGCAAGCTGTCAGTGCAGAGCCCGACTTGGGGCTCGAGTTCAGGAACCGCGAGATCATGACCTGAGCCAAAGTGGGATGTTCAACCAACTGAGCCACCCAGGCGCCCTGGATGATATTATATTTTAAAATGAGTTCCCCTAGAATGCCATATATCTCAATTTTAAAATAAAATTATTTTATTTTCCCAAATACTGAACATATCTACATTATATATCTATAAGATATAAAACACGTAATGTATATAAAATGTAGTATATAAAAGTGATTTTGATCTATAATCTCACCACTGGGTTGGCCACTGTTAAGATTTTGCTTATCTTTTTCGCTAGTTCTCGGGTGCAGCTTCTCACTTGCTAGCATTGCTATGGTGACTCCTAATTGCTGCCAGCCCCACTTGAGATCGAGTTCTCACCGAGGAGATTTGTGTTTACTTTTGCCGGCCTTCTGCAGGCACAGCCAACCAGAGACTACTTTGAGTTAAGTCCTGTGCTTGAGGTTCTTTGGACCGTGCTGGTAGTGTGAATTCAAAACGCAAGCTAGTGCAAACACCGGCTGATAGTGCAAATTCTTGGGCGACATGTTTTTCTTCCCTCCAGCCAATGACAAAGTAGAGACAAGTTTCCCTACCTGGCCCTGTCCATGTGGAAGGTTTATTTGCCACAGGTGTATATGGGGTATCGTGCTCGACTCCTCACCTGGGGCATTTTAAAATTCTTAGTGGTAGGGGCGCCTGGGTGGCACAGTCGGTTAGGCGTCCGACTTCAGCCAGGTCACGATCTCGCGGTCTGTGAGTTCGAGCCCTGCGTCGGGCTCTGGGCTGATGGCTCAGAGCCTGGAGCCTGTTTCCGATTCTGTATCTCCCTCTCTCTCTGCCCCTCCCCCGTTCATGCTCTGTCTCTCTCTGTCCCAAAAATAAATAAACGTTGAAAAAAAAAATTTAAAAATAAAATTCTTAGTGGCATGTAAAAATAATGCTGTATCTTAAAATACATGATATAATGAAAAGTTTTCCATGTTTATGTTGAAATCATACCATACATCAATTTTGTATTTTTTTTCCTTAACATCGGACCGGGAACATTTTCGTATCCTTTTAGCAACTTTTTGTATGCATCATTTTAATGGTTACCATTGTATGTATGTTTGAAAATTTACTTAACCATTTTCTCCTTGTTGGACACTCAAGCCCTTCCCCCTTTCATTGTGCCTAAAGTGTTGGCCGAATTTCACTGAAGTAGCACTACCTATTATATGCCGAGCCCTGCACACAGTGATGGGGCAGCCAGCAAGAAGGCAGATATCGCTTCTCATCAGGCTTGTAGCCTGGCAGGGAAGGCAGCTATCAGGCAAGAAATGAAATATAGAAGGAGGGGTGACAGGGCAGATACAATCAGCTTTTCGGGTTGTTGACTTATGTATGACAGATTTCCAGAGGCAGCAATATTGGGTTAAAATGTATTTGTGTTTTTAAGGTTCTCGATAATACTGCCAAATTGTTGATTCATGGGTATGTAAGGGTATCCATTTCATTTTGTCATAATTAGATATTACCGTTTAAAGTACTTTTTGCCAATTTGTCAGATGAACATGGCATTTTAAAACGTTTATTTATTTTGAGAGGGTGGGGGGCAAAGAGAGAGGGCGAGAGAGAATCCCAAGCAGGCTCTATACTGTCAGTGCAGAGCCTAATGTGGGGTTCGAACTCACAAACCATGAGATCATGGCCTGAGCACCCAAGGTGTCCCATGGCATTTTGTTTTTAAGTTAACATTTATTGACTGAATCTAATCATGTTTTCAAAATATATGTTGGTGATTTGTGTTTCAGTGTATTGTCTGTTCATGATGCCTTTTCCTCACTTTTGGGGTCTTTATGCTCTTGGCTATCATTTTACGTGAGGTTTTTATATAGTAAGAATAGTAAGAATATTAGTCTTTTGGCACAATTTTTGTTAATATTACAAATATTAACAAATTGTAACAAATAAATGTTACAATTTACTGTATGATTTCAATGCTGCTTAATTGCTTTATGAAATTTAGAGGTTCTAAATTTTGTGTTGTCAAGTTTATCACTTCTTTTGTGATTTTTTTTAACTTTTAAAAAATGTTTTTATTTATTTTTTTTGAAGGAGAGAGAGAGAGAGAGAGACAGAGCATGAGCGGGGGAGGAGCAGAGAGAGAGGGAGACACAGAATCCGAAGCAGGCTCCAGGCTCTGAGCTGTCAGCACAGAGACCGATGCGGGGTTCGAACTCACAAACCGTGAGATCATGACCCGAGCCTAAGTCGGACGCTCAACCGACTGAGCCACCCGGGCGCCCCCACTTCTTTTGTGATTTCTTATGTTGCTTTGACATTTAGAAAGTTGGTCCCCGCCCAGAAATTTTTTCAATATTCACTTTTATTCTTTTAGTTATTTATATGTTGATTTCTTATGTTGACTTTTGATTTCTTAATCTAATCCATGTTTATATTGATACGTGATATGAAGTGAGAGTCTAAAATTTTTATTGACTAGTTAATAATTGCTACACCACTTATTGAATAATTCTTTCAATTCCTATGATTAATAATTCCCCTTAAATTACAATATTAAATTCCTGATATTTACTAATTTATGTATTCTTCACCACTGATGTGACTATTCTTACAAGTTTTATAAGTTTTAATTTTTTTTTGAGAGGTAGTGTTCTCTACCCTTTAGAAAAATCTTCAGCTATTTCTTTGACAGTTATTTTCCCAGGTAAGGAACAGGTTACACTACCTCCGTGACCAGACTGCATAGTTAGTTGACTAGGGCGAATACTAGTGGTCCATACAAGAGTCCAGACTGTGGGACAAGCTGAGGTGTAAGAGGGTAAAATTAAGACTGTGAATAAAGGGCTTGAAAAAAAAAAATCTTCCTGTGGCCTAAGGAATATCTGTACCCTTCTCTGTCCTGTGAACTTAAGTCCCATCTGTCCTGAGGACCCAGAGCTCGGGGCATCCAGAGGCATCCTGGGGAACCTGGTCTGTTCCAGACTTCTGCCTTCTTAATATCTACTGTATACATTAGACCATATTAGCTATACGTCAGACCCGCCTGCACTGTTTCCTTCCAGATCGCCTGTGCTACAGACATTTGTTGGTTTGACC